GTGAGAGTAAGCGAGAGTAAAGGATTAGAAACGATCCGTTTCCGTTGTGTCGATCGGCCATATTTACTTATTTCTTTCTGTCTGCGTTCCTCTAGCAAATAAACATTCTTAAATTTCGTGGACATTTTCTGGGCAGGGGTAAATCAACGGCCCCAGTGTAAATAGCTATGGGAAAAGAGAGACATGATCTGTGCCTCGACACAAACATCTCTCTCTCTCTCTCTCTCTCTCTCTCTCTCTCTCTCTCTATCTATCTATCACACACACATGCAGAGGGAAAGAGCAAAGTAGTATTAGAGTATTTATTGATCTAACGTACATTTTAATATATATATATATATATATATATATATATATATATATATATATAAAACTTTTCACCCCAAGCAAGGCGGGAAGCCATTAGGACGCAAGGGGCTACAGAAGATTTGGAGCAAGAACAGATAGGAGTGATAGAGGAAAGAATGAGGAGAAGGATAGTGGATAGATCAAGACAACTGGCGATGTCGATTGACATTACAGTTGAATAGTTGGAGATTATAGCTCTCAGGGAAACAGCAATAGGGAAGGGAGTTCCATAGGCAAGAGGTGCGAGACATGAAGCTATTTGGAGTAGAAGAGACGGCTACATTATTATTTTCGACAGTGAAAGGGCGAGAGCGGGATGCCAGCCTCATAGGGCGCTTGAATTCATGAAGTCTGGGAACCAGCGAATGCAGCTCCTCGGAGCAATTATCATGAAAGTATCTGTAAAAAAGACAGAGAGAGGCGACGGCGCGTCTGTGAGAGTGCGACTGCCGCCGAGATGCCATAACTGGGCCAATTATATTGCATATCCGCCTCTGAAGCTTATCAAGAACCCCGAGGCAAACAAAGGGGCTCCAGACCTTATATGACAGCAATACTCCATATATGTGAAAATACATACATACATACATACATATATATATATATATATATATATATATATATATATATATATGAAAATGCGAACACACATTTACATGAGCGTTCTGATATCTATCTCAGTTTTTCATATATATATATATATATATATATATATAGAGAGAGAGAGAGAGAGAGAGAGAGAGAAAGAAAGAGAGAGACAGCGAGAGAAAGTGAGAGATAGATAGGCAGGCAGGCACGGTGGAGTAATCGTAGAGTCGAGTTTGAATTCCAGTCGAATACATTATATTCACTTCCGTGCTAATACTCTTGGGAAAGGTGTGAATAGTCTTCTTCTCCCTCCTGCTATGGATAAATAGCCTTGTAAAAAGTTCTAATGCATTGGATGACAACTGATCTAAGAGAAGGACAACTCTGAATTCAAAACATGCGGAGCCCTTCAAAAAGTGTGTATGGTTCTACACAAAATCTTCACCACTATAATCAAAATATCTAGGATCTAACTGATCTGCTACATACGTCGAATCGACGGGAGAGTCGTGTGTCTATATATATATATATATATATATATATATATATATATATATACGCTGATATATGTATATATATATCAGCGTATTCATATCTATCTATCTATCTATCTATCTATCTATCTATCTATCTCTTTATATATATATATATATATATATATATCAGTCTATTCTTATCTATCACTCTCTCGCTCTCTCTCACACACACACACACACACACACACACACACACACACACACACACACACACACATATATATATATACTGGCCATTATTTATATATATATATATATATATATATATATATATATATATATATATATATATATATGAATTTTCAATACTGTTTTCTTGGATTTATAATCTCAACAGATAATGCAACAGAATGGTTACTTTATCTCACAGTCTACATTTTGCCAAGAATATATCCTAATATCTGAGTAACCAACCTCAAATGGAATCAGTCAGAGAATGGACAATGGTTTTGCTTGGAGGTTAATGCGAACTGCGGTTGGAGGTAACCCTCTTGCTGTGAAGCAATTTTAGATATTTGCATGCATAAATAACTAGCATTATTGGCAAGGCAAATATGTATATCAAATATCAATTGATTAAGATCCGAACTGGGAATTAGAATAGAACTGGGAATAAGAATAAGGTTCCGAATAGCGTTGAAGCTAAAATGAAATTAGAAGTCGAATAGAATTGTCGAAAATCCAGTTTGGCCCAATCCAAAAGGCGGAATTAAAAAAATAAACGAAAAGAAAAATGTAGAAAACATTTAATTTTAATTTTCTAAAATGTAAACATTTTGATTATATAATAATCTATCTATCTATCTATCTATCTATCTATCTATCTATCTATCTATCTATCTCACTCTGTTTCTATCTATCTATCTATCTATCTATCTATCTATCTATCTATCTATCTATCTATCTATCTATATTGCTTATCTATATAGATTTTGTGATACGTAATGTTTTCATTATATATCTATCAGTCTGTTCACTATCTATCTATCTATCTATCTATCTATCTATACTCGTTGCCCATATAGATAGATTGATAGATTAATTTTCATTATCTATCTATCTATCTATCTATCTATCTATCTATTTGTACACACACATACACACACACACACACACACACACACATATATATATATATATATATATATATATATATATATATATATATATATATATATATATATACCAATCTATCTATATATCTAATCTATCTATCTATCTACATTCGTTATCCATATAGATTGTGTGATACGTAACCTTTTCATTAATAAGGGATAATTATTAGTAATGAGACGATATATTTTGCGAAAACGTCATTTTAACTTTTTTGTATACTTGTAAAATCCAAGCTTCTAGCGGAGACTGTTGCGGGGATGTAAGTCTGATCATATCTATCTATCTATCTATCTATCTATCTATCTATCTATCTATCTATCTATCTATCTATCTATCTGTTTTTCTTTCTGTCCAATTGTTAAGAGAATTATTTGTATTATTCAGTTTTCATTTAGTGTATAACGTATAACTGAAAAAAAGAGTAATTTTTATCGAAAAACATGGCGACAAATCTCAATGGCCTATTCTAGGCAATGCGAAGTACATAGAAAACTCTAAAACCTCTTTGTTCCTCACATATTCAGTTCATGTTATTCTTAATTATGCTTCACATTTCCGCTGTTTGAAGTCCCCTCTTCATCTCTGAGGAGATTATCTACCATTCACTGCCATATCATCCCACATTACGTAACAGCTGAGTACATTTTTGTTGTTTCTAACAAATTTTTTCTGTTTCTTAATATTTTGCTTAACTTTTGAAAAGCATCTTTTTCTATCCCAATGTGCCTTCGTCTGTATTGAAATTTAATTTATTCGCATGTAATTTAATACAAATCCAAAAACGAATAATATCAAACAGGATCTAAATCCGTGGCGATTTGATGCCAAAAATGATAAATGGTTAGAGTCTTTGAATCTTTGATTCCATATAAACTCTGCAAAGTAATCTTTGATTATATCGCGAGTTTTTTTTTTTGGTCGATAGGTTGCTTTGGTTTTTGATCTATATCTCTGCCACATCGCTTCCTCTCGACTTGTAGCTGCACCATTGTTTGCCCGTGTCAGTGTATAAAAGCAGCCAGACTTCAATAGATCATAGTTGATATCACAGATATTTCATCGGCAGAACGTTACTGTTTAAAACCTGGCTTTCGTTACAAGAACGTAATTCTTAAATGTACGGTCTTGTCTGTTAAGTTTGCTCCCGTACTCGGAAAAGGCATGGACGCATCTCTCCACACCCCCTAACTTCAACTGATTTAAAAAGCAGAATAGATTCAGCACTCTCTAACCTTGGTTGCCAACCAATCTGGGAAAAGGAGTACTCTGTATTCACATCGGTGGGGAAATTAACTGAAATTACTCCATTATCTTTCCTATGAAGTTACGGCAGTTAAGAGACAACCGGAAGTCTATACTGTCATGTTCTGAATGGACATTGTAATAGAAAAAAATTGCTTGAACTTCCGGATGTTACAATGTTTTAAAAAAGGATTAAAAAGGTTTTTTTAAGAATAGCATTAATTTTTAAATATGTTTTTGGGTGTTGTTTTCGCTTCTTATGCAGTTTCTAGAGTAGCTGACATCTTCAGTAGATTCAATTGTTTCTTTCGTGATGGTGATTGGAATGGAGTTGCAGTTTAATCGCTGCTTCACATCATCTTTTATGTTCTGCTTGATGTGAATTCGTTTTCTATAATTATTCATTCGTCCGAAGAACACTTTCAATTTTAAAGTTTTTAATCGATTTCATTTCTTGGTGGTTGATATACAGCAAAACAAAGGGCAAAAACGCACTGATCGTTAAGTGAGAAAATGCGCCTGACCCGTATTTCAGGCATACAACATATATCATAGGTTTGTGTCGAAATACATTGTCACTTTTTAATCATTTTTAACGTACCTAATTTATTTCTAAATGTTTATACAACAGTAGTGTGTCAAACAATAGATGTACTAAATAAATTCGTAAATCAGTTCTACATTCTTTATTTTGCTTCAGTTTATCTACTTTAAATACTGTACTAGTAAAATTTTTATCTATTTTTCACTTATTCATTTTATTTATTTCCTTGAAAGAAAAAACGAAGTTTTTGTCCAATACACAATACCAACATGTTGGATTTTTAAAATTTTATTTGGTAAGTTTTTATGTTTGTAAGTCTCAGGTTTGTTAAAGCGGGGAGCGGTAGCTGTAAACGGATTTACTAAAACTGACAAGCTTATCTTGCTTGCTGCTGTCATAACCTTTCAACCATTTTACTCTCTAGCCTTCTTCAGGTGTCTGTCATAGTTTATAACCTTCTGCTAATATAAAAGCTAACACTTTATTCAATCTAAATGGTGAGATTGTTTTCATTCTGCTGTCCATTCTAGACGATCACTTCATATCAGTTGTGATACCAGTTGTCATTTCTGCAGATTCAGTTGATTCTTTTGTACTACCTGAACCAAGAATTGAACTCAAGGACA